AAGTGCAAGGTCGTGAGTTCGGTTCCCGGTACCAAAGAAAAAAAAAAAAAAAAAAAAAAAAAAAAAAAAAAATGTTAAGTTTCTAAAGCATAAATAATTAAGTCCCTACCCTGTGTAAAAGCCTTTAACTATTGTTTCACATTAAACTGTAAATTCTTATCTTTCCCAACCTTTTTTCAGTTTAATCCCCTGTTCATTCCATGCTAGTGACCCTGAGTTCCGTGCATACTCACTAATTCTTGGATAGTGCATTATACCTGCTTTTATTATACAGCTCCTTGTCACTTAATTTGATCATTGTGTTAGCTTTCTGTTACTGTGCCAAAATACTAGATAGTTAAATTAAAAGGAAGAAAGTTTATTTTAGCTAATAATTTCAAAGGTTTCAGTCCATGGTATGAGACCCTGTTGTTTTGGGCCTGTGGTAAACAGTACATCATGGGGAGAGTGTGTGGCTGAATAGGCCTGCTTACATCAAGCCTGTGAGGAAACAAAAAGAAAATGAGGAATGCATTGTGGTTGCAGTGTCCTCTTTAAGAATGTGCCCCAGTGACCTAACTTCTCCCACCAGGCCCCACATCTTAAAAGGTTTCACTAGTGCCACAGGTTGGACACTAAGCCTTAAACTCGTGAATCTTTAGGGGAATATTCAAACTATAATTCATAAATCAGTAACATATTCAGAAACAACACTTAATGTAATAGACCAAAACTAGCATTTATTGAATATATTAACCAAGGACTATACTACTTTATTTTTATTTATTTATTTATTTATTGTCTTTGAGACAGGGTCTTGCTATGAAGTTCAGAATGGCCTTGAGCTCACTTTGTAGCTGGTCTCGAGCTATCCTCCTGCCTCAGCCTCCTGAGTGCTGGAATTACAGGTGTGCACTACCACACCCAGCTATAGCTACTTTAATATAAAGTTGTTCTTACAATCCTTATAGCTATTCTGACAGTCATTTTCCTCGATGAACAGATGGAAACTTGAGGATTTTTGACCTTCCCCACCCACCTCACGTTGCCTCAGCAGTACGTGCTGATGTTATCTTTATCATAATTTCTTTTCAAACGTAGTATTCAATCAAAAGTATTTGTTTTTAGCTTTGTTTTGAATTCTCTATAGTAGAGGAAATAAATTTAATGATCTTAAAATGCAGAATAATCACTTCCTCCTTTCCTCTATGTATGAACAGTTTTTTCAGTTTGTCATGATTATCTGGGTATCAGTGAGTGGCACGATCCAATATATTTGCATGTAAAAAACTTTCTTCTGGTGTCCTTTTCAGTAGTCAGTATTTTCATTTTTCTTTTACTCTAATTTTAAGGCCTCGTCTCAGACTTGAAAAATTTACTGTTTTTTACTATCATGCAGATTAGCTGAGTATGATTTATGTATAATTAGATTAGAAATTTAAGTGTATTTAACTATAAAACAGGCTGGGTAATTACCTGCATAAAGAGGAAAGGGAAATCATATATACATATACATATATATATATACACACACATGTATATATATATATATATATATATAACTTGATAGTACAAAATACAGCCTGTAAAACCTTAACAGTCTCTGTGGGAAAATGTTACAGTTTAACTTACAGAAGTTAATTTTGGCAGTGTTAAAAATCAGAGATTTAGTGCCGAGGATATAGCTCAATGGCATAAGCACTTGCCTTGCAAGCCTGAGGTCACGAGTTTGATTCCCGATACAAAAAAAAAAAATCAGAGGTTTATAGAACAGCAAAGGCAATTCTGGGCTATAAAGGCAAGATAGAGGGGGCATCACAATCCCTGACCTGAAATTGTACTATAAAACTGCTGTGATAAAAACAGTATGGTACTGGCAAATAAACAGACCTGAAGATCAATGGAACAGTTTAGAAGATACAGAAAAACCTCCAGACATACTCAGCCACCTTATCTTTGACAGAGATGCCAAACACATTCACTAGAAGAAAGATAGCCTCTTTAATAAACAGTGCTGGAAAAAATGTCTCTGTACATGCCAAAGATTAAACTTGGACCCATATCTTTCACCATACCCTAAACAAATTTGAAATGGATCAAAGATCAAAATATTAAAACACAAACATTAAATCTTCTGAAAAACGGAATAGGTAAAACTCTTAAAGACATTGGTGTAGGCAAAGACTTTATGAATAAAACCCTCATCACATAGGAATTATCACAAAGAATCAACAATGGGGATCACATTTTATTAAAAACTGTTTGCATAGTAAGAGAAGCCACCAACAGAGTGAAGAGGCAACCCACAATATGGGAAAAAATGTTTTCCAGCTGTTCCTCAGAAAAAGTATTACTATTGAGAACATATAAAGAACTAAAAAATATCAGACCTCCCAAACTTAAAGACCCAATCCAAAATGGCCCTCTGAGATGAACATACACTTCTCAGATGAAAAAATACAAACAGCAAATAAATGTTTGAAAAAAATGCTCAATATCATTGGTCATTTGAAAGATGCAGATTAAAACAACACTGAGATTCCATCTCACCCCAGTAAGAATGGCTATCATCAAGAAATCAACCAATAACAAATGCTGGAGGGGCTGTGGGGAAAAAGGAACCCTTCCCCACTGTTGGTGGGAGTGTAGACGGGTGCAACCACTGTCGAAATCAGTGTGGCGATTCCTCAAAAACTAGGATTAGAGGTCCCATTCGACCCAGCTATTCCCCTTCTAGATATCTTCCCAGAAGCATTAAAGACATAGTACAACAGCAATATATGTGCACCCATGTTTATAGCAGCACAATTTGCAATAGCTAGATCTTGTAAACCACCCAAGTGTGCATCCACTGAGAAATGGATATAAAGGATGTGGTCTTCATGTACAATGAAGTACTACACAGTCATAAAGAAGGATAAACTGGAGACTTCTATAGGTAAATGGATGCAACTCAAGACCATACTGATAAGTGAAAGAAACCAGACTCACATGTGTAAACATTGTATTGTTTCCCTAGTGTGAGAAACTGAGAGAGTAACAAGATGAAAAATGTACAATAGATACTGATTTTACAATATTGATTTTACAGTATCTATTGTACATTTTGGATCTTGTTACTCTCAGCTTCTCACACTAGGGAAGAAACTATTCAAAAGGAAAGAGAAAGTAGGATGAAGGAATGTAGAAAAGGAGGAAGAGAAAAGACACACACACACACACACACAATAGTTAAAATAGTTACACTAAATTTCTCTTAGTTCATTGAAAAGGGTTTGTACTAATATTGTTTGGACAATTAAATGCCTATATCTTGTACTCTGAGTAATGAATTTAAAGATAACAATATGCAGTGTATTAACTATTGTTACTTTCCTTCTGTTGTTTTGAAATTTTTAGTGTTTTTCTCTTTAAAATAAAAAATAAAAATGGGAGGTTTATTTGGCTAAGAAATTGATAAAGTGTAGCATTTCTCCCCTGCATTGTTTCTTTATGATAGGCTTCATAATTACTGTTTCCCAATCTAATTTAAATAAGTTTTCTTTCATTAGAATGTGCAACATGCTGCAGAAGCATTCAAGAAGTGGCTGAAGGAGGAAAGCAAAAGGTGCGGCTGCTTACCAGAAAGGAAACATGGGAAATACAACTACCAAATTCCGAAAAGCACTCATCAATGGTGACGAAAACCTGGCTTGCCAAATATACGAAAATAACCCTCAGCTAAAAGAATCCCTTGATCCAAATACATCTTATGGGGAACCCTACCAGCACAATACTCCATTACACTATGCTGCTAGACATGGAATGAATAGAATATTAGGGTAAGTATTGCTTTAAACCATTTGGTACCAAGTTGGTGAAAGGGAAGACAACTGTGGTCCTTGAAAATAGACATGTGTATGTCATATGGTGTTGTAATGAGCTAAACTTTATAAAACTGAATAAATTATTTTTCGTGTTAAAAATTTGCTGTGATCTTTATGATTTAGTGTGATTATCTGTACTGTGCCCAAATTAGACCAAAGCCTTTAATATCACAAGTTCTTTCTTCTGTAAACATACTTGAAGCTGTGATATGTTTCAAAGTGTCAGATACAGTGTTTAATTTACCAAATACTAGTATTTAATTTATATTTTAGTTGTAAAAATTACTCCCAAAATTGTAGGGAATGGTGCCGAAAGAAAAATTCTAAACTCCAACTAGCTATTTTAACTTGAAAAATAGGTGTTTTTGCCTTGTCTATTTATGATCAGGTTTTTTCTTGTCGTAGGTCCAATTATTTACAAAGTTTCTCTCCTCTCTTCCTCTCCTTCTCCTTCTCCCTCTGTTTCTTTCTTTTGTGGTCTTGGGGATTGAACTTGGGCCTTCACACTAAGCAACATCCCCAGCCCTTTTTACTTTTTTATTCTGAGACACAGTCTTGCTTAATTGCTTAATTCTCAGGCTGGATTTAAACTTGCTACTCTCCTGCCTCAGCCCCTCAGAGTGCTGGGATTACAGGACTGTGCTAGCAAGTGCAGCTGAAAAGATCTAACGGCAAAATGAAAGGAACAAAGAACAATAGAACAGTAGTTTTAAACAGATCTCACTTTTTAAAAGTTGGTTATATAGTTATGAAAGTCTGATGCTAAAAGAGAACTACTTCTTGATTTATACACTGAAGTATAATACTTAAATCAGTATTGAAAGCTCTTTAGAACTTGACAAAAAACCTTTTAAACTTTTTAATATTTCTTCTCAGTGTGCATTGTTCATATTTCGCTGCTCCTTCTGGAACCCCCAGAATATGTGGGCTGAGTATTCTGTTTGCTTGTCCATGCTGTTGTCTGTGTCAGGAGTATTCTCTGTCCTTGTTCCTTCCCCTTCTCTCTCTATCTAAATGTTGCACGTTCTTTAAGGTCCTGTACATGCTATATCTGTCTCCTTAGACTGTCACAACCCATGAGAACCTCAATATTTTTAAACTTCTGTGACTCTTTTTTTATTAGCGTCACTTACTTGCTATATACTACCTCATTGTATTTTATGTTAATATGCCTTCCCTCTGTTTTCCTGTATAATAACTTTTTAAAGATTCTTTGTATTTCTAGTATCTAGCATAGTATCTTAGATAGAGTAAATAGACGTTTTATAAAACCATTATACAAGGAAATATCTTTATGAGCAGTATTTGTTTTTCGTTTTTTTGAGACAGGATCTTGTTATGTAGTTCAGGCTAGCCTTCAACTCACTATGTAGCCCAGGCTGGCCTTGAACTCACAGTGATCCTCCTGCCTCAGCCTCCCAAGAGCTGAGATTCCAGGTGTGCAATACCACAGCCAGGCTATGAGAAGTCTTTGTGCATGTAAAAAAATTTCGTAAATAATTTAGGTCATCTAGGTCCAAAATATATCAAGTATATTTTGACTTATATAGATACTGCTAGCCAGGCATAATGTTGCACGCCTGTAATCCCAGCACTAGGGAGACTGAGGCAGGACGATTGTTGCAAGTTCAAGACCAGCCTGGGCTACAAAGTGAGCTCAAGGCCAGCCTGAACTGTATAGCAAGATCCTGTCTCAAAAAAATAAAAAAAGGATATTGCTGTTACCTCATTTTTGCATTTATTTTTAATTATCATTTATCTTTTTCGATACCAGTTCAGAAATCATCTACAATTTAGCTAATTTGAAATTTTCTATTTTTATACCCCAAACTGGGTCCTTGTATTAAGGACAGTGATGTATTTTGCTCGTATAACAATGTAATATAATAATGGCAAATATGTACTGAAGGTTTATTATTTTCTGATGCACTACATGTATTATCTCAGTTAATCCTCATTACAGTTCTGTGAGGTAGTTTATTGTCTGTGTCTTACAGGTGAGGAAACTGAAGTACCATAAGGGTGAGTAACTTGTCAGAATGCTCATAGCTTGTGAGTGGCAAAGCTAGTTGCCCAGGTATATGACTGCAGGCTTGGAGCTCTTAAACAAAGACTCTTACCTTATCACACACAGATCAACTGATGTGTCATGGCTGCCTCAGCTACTTATTAGCAAGGCACATTACTTCTAGTCACTCTCAACTTTGGTTTCCCTATCTGTAAAATGGATATTTATCTCAAACACCTTATAGCATTAATGTTATGGTGTATATATTATGATGTGTATATTATGTCTAATGTATAATATACTGTTAATGATCTTTATTCTTTTTTGCACCTGAATCCTACGTGCAAATCATCTTTTAACTTAGTCTTTTACTTAACCAAACCTGCTGAGTTCACTAAATCTTGTCTTTTGGGTTTTTTTTATTTATTCTTTTTATTCCCATTCCCCCCCAACTTAGTATACTCTTTTATAAATTTAGTTCGCTCTCTATCAACTGACTGCTTCCAATAAAAATAGCTGGCCCATAATTTTTTCTTTTTGCCAGTCTGTTCTGGCCTAATCTTCCATTACTTCCCTACATTATCCTGGCAGTCAGATTGTTTTACTTCTTTTCTGCTTTCCCCACTTTTAGGAATTTATACTTCCTGTTCCTGTTGTTCCTGTTCTTTGATTTTCAAATGTCTTCTTTCTTTTCTAATTACCTGTCCTTTCAGTCCTAACTTGGTTTCTACCTTATTTATAAATTCATTCCCAAGTACTTGGACCTGAAGTACACTTTGTGTTCTCCAAAATTCCCACCGCTTACACTTAAAACCATACTTTCATTGTTAAACTCTTCTCCTCCATTAGATTGTTGATATCATAATATAGTACTAGACATTTAGTATTGATCTCAGTACACTGTTGGTTGATTAACTTATTAAAGGTTGATTAATGTATTAAAGCATCTTAGTAGGACCTTTTTGGTTTTTTTAATATTAGTGAAATTATAAAATTGTTGATTTAGCCTTTAATATTGAATACTCCATCAGATCATATGATTAATTAAAACTTTGTTTAGAATAGAACATAAAATGTATTTAAATGCTACATTTGTAGTATAACTTACAAATATACTTTACAAATTGGAAAATATTATATAATAAAATCATTTAGATCCAGGGGTCATGGTACATGCCTGTAGTCCCAGCTATTGAGGAGGGTGAAGTAGAGGAATCTCTTAAGTTTATGATTCAGGACCAGCCTGGGCATCATAGCAAAACCCTGTCTCAAAAGAAAGAAAGAAAAACAAGTGTTACTGAAAAACTGTTCAGTATCACTGGCCATTAGAGAAATACAAATTAAAACCACACTGAGATAATGTCTTACTCCAGTAAGAAATGGGATGTCATCAAGAAATCAACCAATAACAAGTGCTGCTAAGACTGGGGGGGAGAAAAGAACACTTCTGCATTGTTGGTAGGAATGTAAACTAGTACAACCACTAGGAAGTTCCGCAAAACACTAAAACTAAAAATTCCATTCAACCCAGCTTGTATCCCTTCAAGGAATCTTCCCCAAAGAGCTAAAGTCAGCATATTACAGTGATTCATGCATGCCCGTGCATACAGTGAGTGATACATGTATACCCATGTTTACAGCATCACAATTTACAATAGCTAAATCTTAGGAACAGCCCATATGTCCATCAGTAGACGAATGGATAAAGAAAATGTATTTATACACAGTGGAGTAGTGTTCTGCCATAAAGGAGAATAAATGAGGCATTTGTAGGTAAATGGATGCATCTTGAGACTATGTTAATTGAAATCAATCAGAATACAAGGTAAAATATCACATGGTTTCTCTTCTATGAGAAACCCAAAATATAAAGAACAAAATAAAGGATGGAGATAAATAGGAAGTAGGGAGATCTTTCTCAAGTGGGAAGGAAAATGAGATGCAGGGATAAGAGGAAGGAAGGGAAAAGGAATTTTTAAAAAAGAGCTAAACTAAAAATGGAAATGGAGGTTTTTCAAATGGGAAGGTGAACAAGAGTTAGAAGAGATTTGGGAGGGGTGGGAGAGGGGGAAAAAAGAATTAAGGTATGTTATGTACATGTACAAACTCCCCAAGACAAACATGGTCATTATGTTCTGAAAGTGTTTATTAATAAGAAAATTATGTGAAAAGAAAAAGAAATGTTACCAATCCAACTTACCACTCATTCATACAAAAAGAAAACCATTTAGTCTGGTGATTCTTAAAATGTGTTTTGAGGATTCCTAGATCCCAAGACTATTTCAGTGTGAGGTCAAAACTATTTTTATTAATGCTAAGATGTGGTTTACCTTTTAACTATGTTGGCATGTGTCCTAATAGTACAAAAAACAGTTAAAACTGTCACAACAAACTATTCTGTATTCATCACTGTAGGCACCTGTGGTTAAAAAAAGAAAGTTTACTTAAAAATATCTTCTATGAAATAGGAAAATTACTAATTTTAATTAATCTCCATCCTTTTAATGTTAATTAACTTAATATTAATATGATCTCCATCTTTTTAATATTCTGTGTGACATCTAGGAATTATGTAAAGCGCTGCTGCATAGCGCAAGGTATTATAACTCAGAGAAGCACTTGTGATATTTGAGTTGTGAGTTCAACTACTTCTTTATCAAACACTACTTTATATCCAGCAACAACTGTAAAAACAATGGTTATTCAGACTTGAGTACTTGGCTGGCATCTTACTGAGAATGATGGAGTCCCACTTGAAGGGAAACAACTGCTATATTTGTTGTTAATGATAAATTTTGAGTGTTCAAGCATGTTACAAGTTTGGAAAACTTGTATCACTATCTTCAACTTGACAACTTTCCAGTACTTACTTTTCTGATGAGATTGATGGTGATATAAACTAATGTAAGTTTGTAGTTTGTGTTATATAATGAGATGTGCCAACATCTAGAAGGTCTGTATAACTTAATGAATCAGTATTTTTCAGGAGATCACTGTGTGATTTAAAAAATACTATGCATAGGTAAAAGATTTGTTCAGAAAGTATAGGCTAGGCCAATGAATTTTAACCTAACAGAGTACAAAAAGTTCATTGTAGCAGGGCTGTCCTAGTTATTCATAAAGCTGAGGCAGGAAGATGGTAAGTTTCAGGCCAACTTGGGCAACCTAATGAAACTATGTCTCAAAGTTTAAAACAAAAAAAAAGGTGACTATAGCTCAGTGATAGAGCACTTTCTCTGGATTCAATGTCTAGTTCCAACACCAGTTGCAGTGGAAACGGGGAGGGTGTTTCCCATCTGCGTACTCCTGCCTGAGATTCTAGCATAAGAGCTTTGAATTAGAAGTTGCTGACTTCAGAGTTCCTCTTTCTAATGTTGCTCCTTCAGGTATCTCGGGATGTTCATTGTTTTTCTCTCCCACAGTCAAATATTAAAGTGTAAGTTGATACAGAACATAGATAACTAGCCCAGCTGCTTGGTGTGTTGTGGACTTTGGCTCTGACTGTCACACACATAAACCAGTACCTAAGTATAGCAGTTAAAAGTAGACTTGAAAATGTTGTTTTTGGAAATGGGCACATTGTGAAAATAAGAATGATTCTCCTCAAGTTCAAAAGCAGAGTCTCAATCTCTGCTCAGGTTTATCTGTTGATTATTTTATTTGCACATTTTATAAAATATAAATACTCCAAAGCTCTTAGTAACCAGCAGTAATTTTTTAAATTATAAAAGGGTCTAATGACCAACAAGTTTAAGGTTTGCTCATCTAGTTAACATTTTTGCTTCCTTTAAGCCAGAAATATATCTGTCTGTCCCTATCATATTATTATTCTATTGAGTATTTGAATACCTATTAAAAAGGTGATTATACATTGTCTTATAGTACCAGTTTGGATTATTTTTATGATTTGACTGTATACTTTATACTTAACTTTTACTTTATTTTAAAACTTCAGCCTCCAAGTCTCAGATGTTTTTTTCCTTAATTGTTTGAAGAACATTGACTCATCAGTTCTTTATTAAGACTTTCAATGTACTGTACTAAAAGTAGAAATTACCTTGTTGCTCTCCTTTCCTAAAAATAAATCTAACACTTAATTTATGGATTCTTTTGTCTTTGGAAATGTAGTGTAGAGGGAACCACAAATTATTTTTTTCAGTTTTATTGGGGTATAATTGACCAAAATTGTATGTATTTCAAGGTGCACAATGTGATGCTTTGATATAAAATCAAGTTAATGTGTATGTCCACCACCTTGTTTTGTTACTTTTTTGTGTATGGTAAAAATACTCAAGATCTGTTCTTGACACAAATTTCAATTATATAATACTTAATTATTAACTATCATCACTGTCCTAAACACTTACTAGGAATTGGATTTTCAGCTTTGAAGTAGAGCTTATCTTTTAAATTTGTCTTCTGTGTATTTCCGGCAAAAAAAAGTGGTTTTCATCCTTCCTTTCCATTTTAGGACATTTCTTTTTGGTAGAGATGGAAATCCAAATAAACGGAATGTGCACAATGAAACATCTATGCATTTGTTGTGTATGGGACCTCAGATTATGATATCAGAAGGAGCCCTTCATCCTCGCTTAGCACGCCCTGTAGAAGATGATTTCAGAAGAGCAGATTGTCTGCAGATGATCTTAAGATGGAAAGGAGCAAAACTTGACCAGGGTGAATATGAGAGAGCAGCTATTGATGCTGTTGATAACAAAAAAAACACACCCCTTCACTATGCTGCTGCCTCAGGGATGAAAGCCTGTGTAGAGGTACAACTTTTCTAATATTCTGCATTGTAAAATTTGTGTCTTGGTAATAGGTAATAATCAGTATTTGTTTTGCTGGTCTTAACAATATCTTAACTAGCCATTTTTGTTCCTTTTTTCATTCTAAAAAAAATCAGGACTCTTTTGAAATGAAGTTAGCAGGTTTAGATAGGAAAAACCCTACAGTTACAGTCAACTTTGAAATAAAGTGGAAGTGAGAGCAATTAAAACTTTGCAACCTCTTCTTGAATGACAGTCACCAATTAAGCACTGTCTTATTACAAGTAATAATTTTAGTAGAGATACATTGTACTTTTTGTTGATTTTATTATATACAATTTATTCATGTTGCATATGGCAAATCTTGACAGTTGGGGCCTATAATATATTTTGTACAATTGGTCAGTTCACAAAGCCATGGGTAGATATTCATGACTGCATTTACTGAAATCTTTAATTCTTGTAATTTTAAAATGTGGGGTTTTTTTTCTGTTCAGTCTGCACTAAAGTATACTTGAATGCATACTGTATTACATTTGAATTTTTAGTACATATTTTATATATAACTATATAAAAAATCTTAACAGGCTTAGATATAGTCATTCATGTAACATGGAATCTTAGCTCAGAAATCATACAATATTTAATATTACCCCTACTATACATACAACAGAACAGATATTTCTCAGCTATCAACATTCATATCAATCCATATATAGCTCATAGAAGTTCTTTTGTATAAATACATTTGACTGTGAGTAGGGACCTTTTAAGATTAGATCACAGAGTATTTTCATTTTTAAAATTGTGTATCTTTATTGGAAAAGCAATGATTTTAATGAGATTAAAATACAGGTCTGTAAAAATTTAATGTTTATTGAATGTTATACTTTAAATTGACCAATGTATCAAAATATGAATATATTTTCTTAAATCATTTCTTTAGTATATCTGAAGTATCCATTCTTTTTATGCTGGACTTCTTGTGATCTTGGATTTTGCTTACTCTGCTTACTGTGTACTTGCTAATCTTTAGAATCTGTCACTTTATATTTTATTTCTGTGTTACCATTTTTCTACTAGTAGTGGCAGTCAGTAACCTGAGCTACTTTTTCAAGTACTGCTTCCTAACACCGACTCAGTGTAGAAGGAAGAATGTCCTAGGATTTGTGGTAGAGGACTAGTAGCACAATTCCTGAAGCTTTTTATAGAAGACTTTCTGGATATTGTTCTGTGTTCACCTCCTGTAGATTTCCTGCTTTAGTGACTCACCATTATTGATGGGACTGCATCATATTTCTCAAGAGGGTTAGAGCAGGAAATAATTTATTTTGAGGGGGGTAATGATGCTTTTAAATTGCTGCTTTAATAGTCTTTTTTCAAGAATTTCTCAAAAAGCATTGCTTTGGTAGTTGTCGATTCTGAAGTATATTTATAATAATCTGCTTGTTAAATTGTTGAAAAAATCAAGTGTGATGTTTTTACTAACATTATTTTGTTCAGTCAGTGAAGGAACTTAATGCTGTGTTTATTCTGTGCTATCTGCAAGGCTTAATGATTTTTGTGAGGGGTGTGTGTGTGTGTGTGTGTGTGTGTGTGTGTGTGTATGTACGTACATGCACTGCGTTATCTGTCAAGCATATGATGTTATATAAGCCATACCATTTGATGAGTGTTTTCATTTTCCTATATTCAGAACAACACTTTGACTTCATGGAAAACATCCCAGTAGAGCTCTATGAATACATATCTTACATTTATTCTGGTATTCATGGACAAATTTCAGCATAACATATTACCTATATGAAGCTGATCTTTAAAGTCTTTTGTCTGACTATACTCTTGCTCAGCCTTAAGCCCTTATATTAATTAAACTGAAAAAGTTTCCTTGAGAAGCATAAATTAACTGATCCTCAGAAGCCTCATTGTGTTTTCTAGTATAACTTCATGAAATAAACATATTGCAGTATATAATTCACTACATGCTGGTAGAGCTTAGAATATTAGTTTTCCACTATCTTTAGGTAATGTCGTACTACTTTGATGAACTAGAAAGGTTTAGATTCTACTTATAAAAATTAGAGTACTAAGTAATTTAAGTATATTTTTCTAAATTTATTTCTCTGCCTGGTTGTTTTTAGTCTTTAGCCTCAAGAATGATAGTGGTAATAACTAATACCTGTATTGTGCTTTCCAGTTTTCATAGTGTTCATTGGTATAAAACATAATATAAAGATGTGAGGTATTTACTAATTTTTCCTAAAATCAAGAGACCATTTTATGGTAGAAAGAGCAGTGGTGTCTAGGTCTTCTCTGTGACTAACTTGGAGACTTTGCATGACTCATTCAACCTCTTGGATGGTTGGGAGAAATAATCTCAGAATTATCCCAAAGACTCTTTTTATAGCTAGTTTTTTTATCAGTCTGTGATTACCTTAAAATATATGCCATTTTTAGCTTTTAAGATTATTTTTTTCCTCCAAGGTTAAGACCAACCTGGCTTTTAACTCTGAAGGACTTATATTTATGGAAACATAATCTTCTTTGCCTGTGGAAAATGTTTTCTTCCTAATGTTTTTTAAGAGTAGAATTGATGAAGATATTGACAGTTTTCATGTGTTCATTTAGAGATTTAAACAGATAGTTTCCTGTAGCTCATTATTTTTACCATAGAAATCAAGCATTTCTTTTCTCCCAGTAGTGTTGCAGGGTGTTTGTTTATTGTTTTGGAGACAGAGTCTCATTGTTTATGGTTCAGACTGGCCTTGAATTCACTATGTAGCCCAGGCTCCTGTCAAATGCTTGTCAGTCCTTCTGCTTTAGCCCCCCAGGTGCTGGGATTACAGGTGTGCACCACCATGCCCAGCAGATCCTTCTTATAATTGTGTTCTATAATAAGTACCCGTGCACACACAAAAGCACAACATAAACTTAAAACTCCATAAACCTAGAGTTCTGGGACCCTTTAAGAGTGAAGGTTAAAAAACAAAGTGTGAAAGTAGTTTCTCCTGATTATCTTGTTTCTATTAATGATGTTATTCTCCCTATACCCTGTCTTGACACCTGGACTTATTTTAGACTATTCTTTCTGTCTTATTTTTAATTGCATCAAACTAATACCACTCACTGGCAAAGTAAAACTCTTCCTTGTCTCTTTTAGCCAGTCCCTTTTTCATCTGTGTCCTACTCTGTACATATCAAGTGCTTTATGTCAGATCTTCACTTCAGAGCATTTTTTTAGACTTTAAAGCAAGACAATGTAGAATTTCACAAATACTAATTATTCCAAATTATAAGAAAAAGTTCAAAGACCCTATAGTCTTGTTTGAAAATTAGAAGTGCTCCTATGATAAACATTTATTAAAGGTAAACTATAAGATGGTGCACACTTGTAATCACAGCACTTGGGAGGCTGAGGCAGGACGATCACCACATGTTTGAGGCCAGCTTGGGCTACATACTGGGTTTAAGGCCAGCCTGACTTACATAGTGAGACTCTTAAAAAAAAAAAAAACAAGATAAAGTATAAGAAAAGCTCCTTTAATTGTAATTTTTTATGTAATAAAGAATTACTCAGGGGTTAATTACCTTTTTTCTGAGAATGACTACATGATAAATGTATCAGGAAGCTCTGCCTTTGTAGCCAGAAAGCAGCTATTGACAATACATACATAAGGGAACATAGCAGTATTGCAATAATCCTTATTTAATGGACATTGTCATTTTAATTTCTTACAACTTTCACATGTCAAAAAATATTCTTTTTTTTTTTTTAACAATTTAAACATATAAAAGCTATTTTTAGTTCCTGGGCTATTCCAAACCAGGTAGCAAGACTGGATTTGGTCATAGTCCTTAGTTTGCAATAGACCTTTGCATAATGTGAACAACTGATAAAGGAAAGCGAAAATGAGTTCATATTTTAAGAACTTATTTTAAATGTGTAAAATAGCATTATCAATATATACCAAGTCCTATGTATTTTACTTATACACAAGACTTAAAAATATTACATACAAGTACCCTGCACACAAAAACAAAACTTCATTAAAACATACAACTTTCAAATTTACTATTATAAATAATAAACGTTTTCCCTCAATTTCTGGACGTCTTTGTTTCCTATCTTGGAATATGAGGTGTGCTTGAAAAGTATACAGAATGGAGAAATTGTATGTTCACAAAAGCCAGGGAATACCTGTAGCAAGTGGGTACCTCCAACTTGGTGCTGAAGAAAAGCGAGTTCTGTGAGGCGAGGGCAAAAGATAAAGTCTGATACAGGACAGTCAAGGAAAAGACAGTCCACCTAGACTAACATCCATAGTTTAGAGAGAGGAAACTAGTGTGCACACAGAACGTGATACTGAGCCCCCACGACATCTTGGGAAAGAGCCATACCAAGGGAGAGAGCAAGGCAGCCCCTCAAAGACAGGCAGGGTTGTTAAATAAGCCCACAGTCAAGCTGTCTTTCCCACTGGACACACAAAGCTGAACAGCTCCAGCCTAGGGACTCAAACCAAAAACAGAAAGGGGAACCGTTTCATAGCTATATGCCAGCACTCTGTCCCCAGAGCCAGTGGGAGGCAAGATCCTGGGAGAGAAGATTCCCCCAACACAGACAATTTTAATAATAACAAGCCACCTATTTCTCCTACATACAATGGGAGCACAGCACATGGAGCATTGAGCACTCTATCCATGAGTGTCAGCCACCTTCCTTGGAAGGAGAGGACAGTAGCAGAAAAGAGCAGAAGGAAGTGAATCTCGGTTCGGTGACAAAATCAGAAATCAATTCTGTGACAGCGTTACACCCAAGAGCCAGGAGAGAGAGAGTACCATCTTGTGATTCCTGTAGGTGGAGCTGAAACAAACAGCAGCAGTCAGAACCTGGGTTAGCAGATTTGGGCCACATAATAGGCAAGAAAAAAACTGGAGAAATTTGCAATATTTACCCTCCAAATCAGTCAAGACAGTCAGATCCACAGGTCCACATGGAGCATGTG